GGAAAGTCTGTAATAGAGAGCAGGAGAGGGGGCAGGGCTAACTAGGACTCTATTAGGATTGAGCCAGAAAGTGTTTCTCTTAACTGCAAATAATCTGCCACCTTTTTCCTCTAATACTTCAATGCTTGTCTGAGTAATATTCTTTGCTCCTTAGGTGACCTGGGCATCTATTCATTCTGGAAGCTAAGAAAAATATTCATAGCAGGGAAAGACTCTGCTAAGGTCTGAATGTCTCTGTCATACCTAATTCATAACTGAAACTTCATCCCTGAGATGTTGGTAAGAAGAGGTAGGGCCTTATGAAAGTGAGGTCACAGGGGCGGGACTTTGGGACACAGAGTTAATGCCCCAGAATTGATGCCCTGACTTTGGACTTCCAACCTCCAGAATTGGGAGTCATATATTTCTGTTTCTTTATAAGCCACTCAACTCAGAGTCTGGAAGTTTATTGTAGCAATTAAATGGGCTCAGGCAGGCTCCAACTTGCTTGCATTTTCAGAAGGGACAGATTGAGAGGAGGAAGCAGTAACTACAAACCTAGTCAGTGAGTCCCTAAGGGAGCAGAGCAGAGAGCCTGGGGCGCTTTATCCTCCACAGAGCAGCTACACAGCAGGCACCCCAATCAATGTTCTCTAATCATCACACAACCTGCACAGCCAACATCATTCTCTTCCCCACAGGAAACACGCCCATCTGCCTCTCTTTTGGAACACAGAATGTGACAAATGACTGTTAAGGTGTCTTGGCAACAGCAACAAACATTTATCCAAACTAACCAAAAGGTAGAGAGTGAACATGCAAGTTAACAAAATCAGAAATGAAAAGGGGGCATAACAATGGACACTGAGGAAATCCAGACAATCATCAGGCCATACTTTGAAAACCTGTAGTCCACACAATTCAAAAATTTTTAAAATATGGACAGTTTTCTGGATAGATATTATTTACCAAAATTAAATCAAGAACAGATAAACGATTTAAATAGATCTATAACCCCTAAAGAAATAGAAGCAGTCATCAAAAGTCTCCCAACCAAAAAAAGCCCAGGACCAGATGGTTTCAGTGCAGAATTCTACAAGAAATTCAAAGATCAGCTAATACCAATACTCCTCAAAGTATTCCACACAATAGAAGCAGAAGGGTC